TCGAGCGGCTCGGTTTAGTCTCAGAAGGCCAGAGGCGTGAATAGATAGGGCCAAACAATGATCTCATTCCAAAATAATTGCTCCTCTTGTGGCTGTTCCCTTCCCTCCCACTCCTCTGTGCTGTCCGCTCTCCAACTTCAGACAAAAAGAGCGAAAGAAAAGAAACAGAGGGGCTTGAACGGGGTCAGAAGGGCCAGGACGCACTGTTTCCACCTTTATCTCCAATGCATTTTTTTTTCCTCTGTAAACTCCAAGTGTAATTTTCCACTTTAGTGATGCAACCATTCAACCAATTCAGTTTAGCTGGAAAAAATCGAAAGTGACCAAACACAGGTCCACCTATCCAAGAGACACCAAGACAATGTCGTTCTAGAGATGCTAGAAATATTAAAACAAAGACTACATTTCAGCTGAGAAGTTGAAGCAAAAATGAATGAATGAACATGTACAGGATTGATTTCACCCCAAATCAAGAAGAATTAATGAGAAATGTTGCATAAAGAAAATGAAGCAAGCACCCCCCTTTTTAATGTTCCCTCCAATTTTGATTTCTATAAAATGCTAAAAAAAAAAGTAATGACATATTATTTAAATTGTATTTTTATATTATATAAAATACACAAGTGTTGCTAGTTGTTAGTATCATTTGCACTACTTAATTACAAATTTATGCTGATTTAAAATAATTATTGCAGTATTTGTTATTGTTCAAATAAATTGTCAGAATGTAAAAATATTAATGGGCTTAAAATAAATTCTTTATGCAAAAATACAACATTTCATATAATTTCCATTCTATTTTCATATCCGTAAAATGCTACAAAAAATTATATAGCATCTAAATTGTATTTTATTTATATAAAATACAAATCTTATATTATACAGAAGTATTTATTATATAAAAAGTTCCATTTAATATGTTAACTCATGTTAGTATAGTTTGCAGGAAAGCATATCATGTTTTTTTTTTATAAAATATTCTGCCAAATGCATAAAATGCAAATTAATAACACATAAAATGCTATAATATATATATATATATATATATGCTCTAAATAAATAAATAAAATATTTGTATTTATTTATTAATTCATGTCTCAAATCCAATAAGCAAAATGTGTGACACTGAGCATGTTGTTGGCATATTGATTTTTTCTTGTTTTAAGCAAATGCCTTGCATACCTTTAATGTAATAAAATCATCTGCCAAATGCATAAAATCCAAATGAATATCACAGAAAATGAATTGTTTCATTTTTTATTCGGTGAACTATTCTTTCAAAGCAATCGGTCTTGATTTTCATCGACAGAGTATAGTGATCATACCTGAGAGATCTCCTTATTGAAGATGGTGTTTTGATGGGTAAAACTCGGGTCGCTTTGCACCAATGAGACTTTTGAAGCCAGGCACATGTCTTTGTGCTCGCAGGAGGGACTGTCCACCACGTCCTTTCTCGCTTGGGTTTTGAGTATCTGGGTCTGTGTGGAAAGAAGTATGAAATGATCACTTATTCATGGGGAAAACTGGTAATATATACAAGCTAAAACACTGTGCTGGTGGGCCTGAGAAGCTTGCGTGATGTCATTGTGAGTTTATATTGAGAGTAAGACGCTTACAGAATGGAAGAGCTGCGAAACAAGTCCGGGCAAGAACTCAAGGTCATTTCAGATCACCGGAACACAGGACCACAAAACCACAAACTAAATTCCCACAGTGATTATGTCATTGATGACTAAGAGTGAGGAAGAGCAGCTCATCGGCATCATTCATTCAACCACAACAACACATTGTATAAGATAGGAATGAGAAAACACACTGGTAAACTGAAGTACTACTTGTTAACGTGTCTATCAGAACATCATATGGTCAGAAATTTACACAGGCTTGTGGGGAACAAAAAGAAGCCAATAAATGAAGACAAATGCCCCACAAATTCAAGATAAGGGAGCAAAAATGCCCCTGCTAGATGCTAGTGGCGGTGTGTAAAACTGTCCAAAACAGAAAACAACATGCTTTACAAAACAGAAAGCCATTGCAAACTCGTGTCAGACAGTCTTATATAACCAAAAGCCACAGTCAGCACAACCGGTGACGATAATGGCGGTGAGGACACATTTAAAGCGCTCAAAAAATTTGACAAACTGAATAAAGTCAGGAAACATCTGTGCCGATGTTGGGAAAGGGCGGCCCATTACATCAACACATCATCACAATCATAAATAAAAGATGAGATCACATGTTTGTGTTGCAGAGACATTACACTGCAAAAAAAAAATCATCATCTGTTTCTTTGTCTTGTTTTCCATTATTAAACATTCTTTTAAAAAATGCATTTACTTGAGATGTTAATGCAACCAATCAACCATTTGTTTATCCTTATTATAATAATAACTATATATACAGTGGGTACGGAAAGTATTCGGCCCTTTCTAACGGAGCATGCTGCACAACTTCTTGTCCAGGCCCTTGTCATCTCTAGGCTGGACTACTGCATATAAAAAATTCAACCATAAAAAATGTTACTTAATTAAATTCAAGTTTATTTGTATAGCGCTTTTCATGATACAAATCGTTGCAATGCAGCTGTACAATATATGTTTCTACAATATATTTAGTAGTAGCTCATCAGTGGTGACTGATAAACATTAACTGAAATAAAAAAACTTAAAGCAAGATTTCTCCTTTTCATTTAGTATCTTGATGTCCTAAAATAAATAAAACTATAGCTGAAATAAAAATTAATAATACCTATACAGACACGATAACATTATAATAAAAATGACAAAAACACAAAGTTAAATAAATAAAAACAGAAAATTCAAATATACAAAAACTGATAATACAGAAATGTAAAAAATTTAAAATAATATCTCAATGATACAAAATAACACGTATATAAAGAATAAGAGTATATTATATTGTATTCGTTATATTCATATATAATTATAAATAAATTTAAACATGTAAAAAAATAAGTTTTTATTGATATAGTATATTTTCTGTATATATTATTTTTGTATTTTTGAAAGTATAAAATAAAAATAAATGTTATTAAATTATAAAATAGCTATTGAACAAAGTTTTTATTTATATAATTTATTAAATATTTTTTTAATTAATGTTTTGAAAAGGCCACAAATATGCTAAATTTGTGGCATTGAGCATGTTGTTGCCATAACAATTTTTTCTTGTTTTAAGCAACAACAAAAAAAGGTTTATACACGAAGAAAACCCAATTTGCCAATGTTTGAAGGAAAATGCACCTAATTGAACAAACAAGAAACTGAATATCATAAGAAATTTTGCTTCTTAAGTCGTTTTATGCACGATTAGATATTTCTACTGGTGGAAAAAAAGGCAAAAACACTGATAAAGAAAATGATTTTTGTCGTCTGTAAATCTAAAGGAGGTGCTCCATCATTTGGATTGGTGTGTCCCGTCCATGTCCAGAGATTCCGAGTGTCATCCCCATCCTGTACGACCTCATGTTTTCCACAAGGCGGCATTGAGGAAAGATTCCCGATCGCAGATGACTCAAGGCTTGGCCCGCAGGCACTCAGGATGCAACCGGTTTGTTTTGAGTGCTGATTTGCCTTAATGTTGCGAGTAAACATTTATTTCGCAGGCATCGTGCCTCGCAAACAACAGCGCTGTGCGCAGGTGGCCCCGACCGCAGCCGCCGTCTCATCAAAGGGCGGTCCGCTTTTTAAGGGCCTCGACTCACATTACCCCAAAACGGCTGTAAAAGTTTCACCGCTGCTTTTTCCTCTGCTAAACCCAACTGAACACTTAAAATAATAAGTCGTTTAGGCTTGGCCTGCTGCGCCACTGACATCACTTCCTAAATTCCAAGAGCCCATTATCTTATATACATCTGGCTATGGCTGAACACAAACCACTCAAAAGTAGGGAATTCACGGTCAACACTAAATTCTGCTTCAGGTCTGGGGTCAGTCGTGTGCTCGAGACATTTTTACAGCAGTCGAGGAACAAGAAGTACAAGATCTGCAAACCCATACACCGACAGAGAGATAATGCAGTTATAATACACTGGCTTACTGCGCAAAAGTCTGCATAGAGCGCAACAGTCGTGTCCTGGAAGTGAAAAACATATACATTTTGTCTGAAGAGAAATAGATTTTTAACAATAGCATATAAATGTTTGAGCTCTGAGATTGTTTAATACCCAAATACCTAGTTATGAACCGCAGTGCACATAATTCACAAATGAGAGAAGTCACTGTTATCATGGAAACAGAAAAAACTCACTCCCGTGATGCACTGCGAACCAGGGTTATTATAGTTGACTGAAACCATAAGAAGTTGATTACTTGAAATAAAATAAACATTAACTGAAATACAATTATATATGAACTAAAAACTGAAATAAAAATGAATTAAAAATTATAGACATATTTTAAAGGTGCTGTATGTAGGATTGACACCGAGTGGTTGAACTAGGTATTGCAGTCCAAATTCAAAATATCGGAGAGGGTTTTTTTCCCCGGGCCCCTCCTCCTCAGACTTGAAGCACACACAGGTTGCCAGATTGATGACACCAACAGGAACGAGCGCACTTGACGAAGAAATTAAATTAAATACGCTGTGTTTTTCGCCAAAAGGCAACCCGGGTGCCGAAATACAATTGGGTAAACTGGCAGTGGGCGGGTTACACAAACCAAAACAAAGACAGACATTCCGCTCCGGAACGCATGTTTTCAAAGGAGAATAACTGACTGTAGCATTGTTTTCCAGATAAACAAGTATGTTAACTTAGCATCTTTCTTAAATATCTGCAAACATATTATGGCATTTTTATGCTTTAGTACAGTCAAAAACTCAATGATACAAAATAACACGTATATAAAGAATAAGAGTATATTATATTGTATTCGTTATATTCATATATAATTATAAATAAATTTAAACATGTAAAAAAATAAGTTTTTATTGATATAGTATATTTTCTGTATATATTATTTTTGTATTTTTGAAAGTATAAAATAAAAATAAATGTTATTAAATTATAAAATAGCTATTGAACAAAGTTTTTATTTATATAATTTATTAAATATTTTTTTAATTAATGTTTTGAAAAGGCCACAAATATGCTAAATTTGTGGCATTGAGCATGTTGTTGCCATAACAATTTTTTCTTGTTTTAAGCAACAAAAAAAAAAGGTTTATACACGAAGAAAACCCAATTTGCCAATGTTTGAAGGAAAATGCACCTAATTGAACAAACAATAAACTGAATATCATAAGAAATTTTGCTTCTTAAGTCGTTTTATGCACGATTAGATATTTCTACTGGTGGAAAAAAAGGCAAAAACACTGATAAAGAAAATGATTTTTGTCGTCTGTAAATCTAAAGGAGGTGCTCCATCATTTGGATTGGTGTGTCCCGTCCATGTCCAGAGATTCCGAGTGTCATCCCCATCCTGTACGACCTCATGTTTTCCACAAGGCGGCATTGAGGAAAGATTCCCGATCGCAGATGACTCAAGGCTTGGCCCGCAGGCACTCAGGATGCAACCGGTTTGTTTTGAGTGCTGATTTGCCTTAATGTTGCGAGTAAACATTTATTTCGCAGGCATCGTGCCTCGCAAACAACAGCGCTGTGCGCAGGTGGCCCCGACCGCAGCCGCCGTCTCATCAAAGGGCGGTCCGCTTTTTAAGGGCCTCGACTCACATTACCCCAAAACGGCTGTAAAAGTTTCACCGCTGCTTTTTCCTCTGCTAAACCCAACTGAACACTTAAAATAATAAGTCGTTTAGGCTTGGCCTGCTGCGCCACTGACATCACTTCCTAAATTCCAAGAGCCCATTATCTTATATACATCTGGCTATGGCTGAACACAAACCACTCAAAAGTAGGGAATTCACGGTCAACACTAAATTCTGCTTCAGGTCTGGGGTCAGTCGTGTGCTCGAGACATTTTTACAGCAGTCGAGGAACAAGAAGTACAAGATCTGCAAACCCATACACCGACAGAGAGATAATGCTGTTATAATACACTGGCTTACTGCGCAAAAGTCTGCATAGAGCGCAACAGTCGTGTCCTGGAAGTGAAAAACATATACATTTTGTCTGAAGAGAAATAGATTTTTAACAATAGCATATAAATGTTTGAGCTCTGAGATTGTTTAATACCCAAATACCTAGTTATGAACCGCAGTGCACATAATTCACAAATGAGAGAAGTCACTGTTATCATGGAAACAGAAAAAACTCACTCCCGTGATGCACTGCGAACCAGGGTTATTATAGTTGACTGAAACCATAAGAAGTTGATTACTTGAAATAAAATAAACATTAACTGAAATACAATTATATATGAACTAAAAACTGAAATAAAAATGAATTAAAAATTATAGACATATTTTAAAGGTGCTGTATGTAGGATTGACACCGAGTGGTTGAA